TTATTTTTGCCTATTTTGTTTTACTTAAATATACTTGAAACTGAGAAAATATTGCAATTTTGGGACAAAAGATTCTCGACGTGCGTGGCACGTCATTCCAACGCAAGAGGTTAAATTAGAAAACCCGATGCCTCGTTGGAAAACGGCTGGAGCGCCGTTTCGTAGAGATATTCGTTCGAAAAAACGTTTCGCGTAGAAAATGTGAACGCACCCAGTCGGTGGGTGGCGGCTGTTGTTGATTAATAATGCGCACGATGCACTCTCTTACCTCGCGCATAAATTACGTCCCACCGTGATGTTCTCGTGTTCGTCTCGATCGAAGACGTTTTGCCAGCGAATCGGTCCAGTTTGAAGATGCGAGATCCAGTTTTAGCAAGTCGTCTTCATTCATTTCATAGTAGTTGAACATTTCAGGAATTTCGTTCGGTGAGTTATGCTGTCTCGAATCTCTGCGATTTATGAAGATCTTTCTTGTTGGATCGGTCTGTTTTTACAATAGGAGATTTATTTTTGGTAGATGATGCTTATTCTCGTCGTATAATGAAACAAGTAGTGATAGGTTTTACGAATTTTATTCGGTAACTTCTATAAAATAAATTCGATAAATTAAATAATCTCAATCCTTCTCTGCGATTTATGAAGATCTCATTGGATCTCTGATAGCTCGAATCGGTCTAGTTCTAAGATACGAGGTGTAATTTCCATAGATAATCTTCGTTCATAGCCAACATATCACGTGAAAATAGTTGAACATTTCAGGAATCTCGTTCGATAACTCCTGCCGTAATTCAAACTATCTCAAACCTCTCACGACTTACGAAAAGACCTTATTACATCTCTGATAGTTATATCATTGGTATAAAACTGAGTTCTCAGTGGAGAAGAAATCTAATCAAAACCTCGAGCACAAGGTAGTCGAGCGTTTCTTCCTCTAATCGAAATCCGAAATGTGCAAACAGAATAAAACGGCGAGCTCACATTTCACCGTACAAAGGCGTGTACGTACGCGTCCTCTCCGTAGATTCGCGTTCATGTTCGTTAGGCAAAGCATACAAGCAGAGGGGAAAAGGACGGAGAAGGGCGACGAGGACAGGTGAGAGGCGCTCTCGATGCAAAAGGAAAGGATTGGAGGAGGATGGATCGTGGATGGTGTGTGCATCCGCGGAGCCGTGTGAGTGTGTGAGTGTGTGTGTTGGGTTTCGCATAGTTTATCAATGCGCGTAGGCTGGTTCGAGAACACTGCCGAGGCAATAGATTACAATTATCCGAACACGCCTGGCTAAACGTGGGAGTTGCCAGCGCGCCAACGGACACGACGAGCGGATCGACGCGGATCCGATTCTCGTCAGACTGCGCTCGACGATTTTTTCATCATTGCTATTATACACGCCATTCTCTCTTTTTCTGGCGTTAAAAAGTTAAATTTGCAAGCAAAGATCGTAAATAAAGATCGACTTCAAATCGACGTCGAATCGTTTTGCTTGAGATAAACTTTATTTTAAAATTTCAAATCTTTTATCTTCTTATCTTCTTGTTATCGTGACTTTAAGTAGTACACACAGTAAGTAGAAACGTTCAACGTTCAACGCGCACGATCGATTCAGAAAGTCATCGATCACACGTCCCACTAAACTGCGAGACTCGACGTTTTTCCCCGCCTCGAGAGAAGACAAATCTCAGGCAATAACGTTCCATCGAGACAACAACGAATCGAGCGAAAACTTTTCTAATTCCTCGCGATGCAACAACAGGCAACGCGAGTTCTTTCGCATTGTTCGCCGCAATCTTCGATACCGTTAGCCAAGCGCCGCGGCTCGATTTCCGTTTGATTCGTTTTCGCATCGCGGAAACGATCCCAGGATCAAGGTCCGGGGAACCTTGTGGAAGCTAGTCATCATCATCTTCATCGTCGTTGATCCTGAGTGCGCGCGCGCGCGCGCCGTAGCCTGCTCTCCTACGCAGGTCTCGCGAAACGAATTGGTATTGTAGTCGTGTAGTCGAGGTCAAGATCTTCGATTTTTATGCACATCGTACGTAAAATATTTCTATTTCTGTTTCTGTTGTAGAGAATTTATCTATTTTATTTCTATTTTATTTATATGAGATTTAATTTAAAAGAGTAGCAAGTGATTTTGTTCATTTGAAAAAAAAAAAACGTTCGTGGAAGATAACATCAACTAGTGAAAAATTGTCAAAGAATATTTTTAATTCTATCTTATTTATATGAGATTTAATTTAAAAAAGTAGCAAGTGATTTTGTTTATTTGAAAAAAAAAAAAACGTTCGTGGAAGATAACACCAACTAGTGAAAAATTATCAAAAAGTATATTTAATTCTATCTTATTTATATGAGATTTAATTTAAAAAAGTAGCAAGTGATTTTGTTCATTTGAAAAAAAAAAACGTTCGTGGAAGATAACATCAACTAGTGAAAAATTGTCAAAGAATATATTTAATTCTATCTTATTTATATGAGATTTAATTTAAAAAAGTAGCAAGTGATTTTGTTCATTTGAAAAAAAAAACGTGGAAGATAACACCAACTAGTGAAAAATTGTCAAAGAGTATATTTAATTCTATTTTATTTATAGATTCTTGAGACTTAATTTAAAAAAGCAGCACGTGATTTTGTTCATTTCAAAAAAAAACGTTCGTGGAAGATAACACCAACTAGTGAAAAATTGTCAAAGAGTATATTTAACGATTCACGGTGTAGGTAAACGTAGGTTGCGTACAGTGCCCTTAAGGGTTCGAGAGGAAACGACAAGGATCCACCATCGGTGTACGTGCGCTCACAACTGAATTAACCGCGTCGTTGTCTGAATAGAGAAATATCAAGTGAATGTAAATACGGTAAAAATCCACGCGTCATCCGGTTGGCGAACCGCATCGATATTTCTGCGAACAAGCGGCTGGAAAATCTGTATTGGTAAATTCTTCTACACGATCTGTTTATTAACCCACGTACGTGAACTTCTGATATAGATAGCATTCGCGTAGAATGCTCGTGATGCTTCGCTGAGAACATTTATTGACTACAATATACGAACGTTCTGCGTGTTTTATGTTTCTTCCTTAAATTAACAGCAGCACACGCGTACAAATGCTGGCTTCGCTCCAGAGAATTCGAGGAAGGGTATTTATATAGTTGAATAAATTATAATCTACTTATCAGATCGATTATTCTGTTGGATCTCCCCGATAAAGAAATAAAATTTATCGACCAGCATACTGATACAAATATCAGTATGTTTTACGTTTCTTTATTAAAATTACAGCGTACAGACATTTACGAATATTAACTGTGCTCCGGAGAATCCAAGAGAAAGTATTTATAGTTGAGCAAGTTATAACGTAATCATCGGATAAATTATTCTGCTGGATAAAAAGTAAAATTTATCGACCAGTAAGTGATACAAATATCTGTATGTTTTATGTTTCTTTATTAAAACAACAACGTTTACAGACATTTGCGAATATTGCAAGTGAATCCAAGAGAAGGTGTTCACAGTTGAGCAAATCTAATCACGAACGACGCGCGAGTTGTCGGGTTAAATTTAGAGAAGTTGTTCAAAATGTTAAGTAACTTTCCTTTCCTCGATCAGAAGATACCGAGAAAGCAGACCCGGCCAGAACCGAGATTTTGATATCTGTCCGATGCAGTATTTTACGCTGTTCGATCGAATCGCCCTAACGCGGAAGGCCAAGCGAACTCGAACGATAACTTTCTCCCATTGAGAATTCTGCCATACACGGGCAAGGAATTTATCGGTGGCCGCGCTCTTACGATTCGTTACTGAATTCCCTGGCTTGTTCTTTTAAATTAGCTCTCTGCCATCCCCCAGAGTTCCAACCGGGCGCCATTTCGATCGCGTTTCACGGATCGGATTCTTATCGTTGTTCGTAGAATCTTCACAGTTCTATTTTCGCAATTTTTGGTGCTGATGCAAAATAATCCAGTGCCGCAGAAATTTCACCAAAAATTCTAAATCTCTTCTTTGCTATCGGGTTATAGGCGTTTGTAAAAAGTTTATCCAACGCAGTTACCGACCAATCATTGAGTTACGTGTAATTACTGTCGATAATTGATGCAATTATCAGTGTCCGGGGCATCATCGTCCGATGGACAAAAACAAGTGAGAGAGTGAAGAAGCGTAAAAAAAAAAAAAAATCGATCGATCGAAGATGCAATTAGCGGCCTATCTGGTTCATCTGGTTCCCCCCTTTCGACTGTCGTGGCTAATTGAGGCTAATTGCGATGATCATCCGTCTTACGACTTTATTCGCCTGTTCGAGGATGCTTGCGAATCACGTTCAATTTTTAAAAAATGGAGAACGAAGCGAAGTTTAGGGAAAGATAAACCTTTTTTTTTAAAAACTTTCTGTCACAACAGTTTTTTATATATCTAGTGTTCTAATTCTTTTATATCTTAATATTTAAATTTTAATATCTTATAATATAATATATATAATATCTATAATATCTTAATATGTAAATTTTAATATCTTATAATATAATATATATATTTTTTATAATATCTTGATATTTAAATTTTAATATCTTATAATATAATATAGTATAATATATATAATATCTTTAAAATTTAAATTTTAATATCTTATAAGATAATATTATATATATTATATAATATTAATAATATTATATAATATAATATATATATCTTTTATAATATCTTAATATTAAAATTTTAATATCTTATAATATAATATATATATTATATAATATTAATAATATTATATGATATAATATATATATATATATATATATATATATATCTTTTATAATATCTTAATATTTAAATTTTAATATTTTACAATATAATATAATTAAATATTTTACAATATTTTACAATATATATATTTTTAATATTTTACAATATAATATAATTTAATATCATTATGCTATATATTATATATAATATGATATAATATATTAATTATTTCATAATTCTTTTATAACGTCGTTTCCTTTCGTTCAGGTTTCACCGGGACCCAGTGCGAGATCGACATCGACGAATGCGCGGCGAAGCCGTGCCTGAACGGTGGCGTTTGCACCGACCTGATCAACTCGTTCAAATGCAACTGCGCGAACGGATTCGCCGGCTCTCACTGTCAGATCAACATAGACGACTGCGCCTCGTCGCCGTGCAAGAACGGCGGCGTCTGTCAGGACTCGATAGCCAAATACACGTGCGACTGCCCGCCAGGATTCACCGGTGCCTCCTGCGAAACCAACATCAACGACTGCCAGTCGAATCCCTGTCACAGCGGCAGCTGCATCGACGGCGAGAACAGCTTCAGCTGCAACTGCTTCCCGGGATTCACCGGGAAGCTGTGTCAAACGCAGATCGACGAGTGCGAGAGCAATCCGTGCCAATTCGGCGGGAGGTGCGAGGATCGTATCAACGGCTACCAGTGCATTTGCAGGCCTGGTACATCCGGGACCAACTGCGAGGTGAACGTGAACGAATGTTACAGCAATCCGTGTAGAAACGGGGCGAGGTGCATCGACGGTATCAACAGGTGGGTCTGCAATTGCTTATTTTCATTTATTTTAATTATCGTGCACTTTGTCACGTTCAAAATGTTAAAACTATGCTTTGAAGAGAAATTATGTAACTGAGTATAACTGAACTGATATTTATAAATGATGTTGATATTATGACTAAATAGATATTATCACAATCTGGAAGAATTAAGCAATCTTCCAGCCGATCCTGTAAATTTGTTGCAATAAAATTTTAATTATTCGAATTTATCTGGATATTTATCGGGATTTATCTTTTTGAAGTATTGTATAGCAAAAGAAAATATTGACTTTTGTTTTTATATAGACTTCAAAACAAAAAAAGAAAAACGAAATTATTAGAATTGGAAATTATATTATGGAATATTAGATTATACAAATATAGAATCACGTGGCGATTAGATCAAAAATAGTCCATCGCGAGACGCCGCAGGTAAAATTCGTGTTGTGAACATTAAGTCAAACTTATCCTTACTTTCCATTCTGTAATATCGTTATTTGTATAATATAATATTATATTTGTATATTATATAAATACAATATTATATAAATATAATATATTGTACATAATTTATATTTATAATTATATTTGTATTGTTATAAATAATATTATAATTATAACACAAATTATACAAATTATGTATAATATGTTATAATTTGTATGTAATACATATTTGTGTACAATAGAAATTATAACATATTACACATAATAATTTCTATTATAAATATAATACTATATTTGTATAATTATACAAATATAATATTATTTAATATTTAAATTAAATTAATATTGTAGTATAATATTATTGTAGTACAATATTATACAAATATAATATATTGTACATAATTTGTATTTATAATTATATTTGTATCATTATAAATAATATTATATTTATAACACAAATTATACAAATTATGTATAATATGTTATAATTTGTATGTAATACATATTTGTGTATAATAGAAATTATAACGTGTTACACATAATTTATGTTATAAATATAATACTATATTTGTGTAATTATACAAATATAATATTATATAATAATACAAATATTATATAAATTATACAAATACAGAATCACGTAATGATTGGATCAAAAATAGACCATCACGGGACGTCGAGAGTCGATGTAAACTTAACTAAGAAAATTCTTCGTCGTGACTAACATGTCAAGTCTAGCAAAATCACACTTGTCGTTACTTTCCATTCTGTATAAATCTCATACGATCACAGAATCACCAAAAAAAAAAAAAAAATTCGTCGTTACTTTCCATTCTCTCATTGAACGCGACACGTTTGCTTTTTCTCAGGTACTCGTGCGAGTGCGAGCCAGGCTTCACCGGTTCACACTGCGAAACGGATATCAACGAGTGCGCCAGCAATCCCTGCGCGAACGGCGGACGGTGCATAGATTTGATAAACGGCTTCCGGTGCGATTGTCCCCGCGGCTACTACGACGCCAGATGTTTAAGCGACGTGGACGAGTGCGCCAGCAATCCTTGCGTGAACAGCGGCACTTGCGAGGACGGCGTCAACCAGTTCATCTGCCACTGTTTGCCCGGCTACGGTGGCAAGAGATGCGAGGCGGACATCGACGAGTGCGGCTCGAATCCGTGCCAGCACGGCGGCACTTGCAACGACCATTTGAACGGTTACAGTTGCAAGTGCCTGGCCGGATACGCCGGCACCAACTGCGAGACGAACATCGACGACTGCGCCAACAATCCGTGCCAGAACGGCGGCTCTTGCATCGACCTCGTCAACGATTACAAATGCGTTTGCGAGTTACCGCACACCGGCAGGAACTGCGAGGACAAGCTGGACCCTTGTTCCCCCAACAAGTACGAGTCATATCATTGTTTCATCGTCTCAACGTAATTGTTGGGTTAATGTTGTTAAATGAACGCGTACCAAGAAATTTAAACATCGGAGAATTTAACCACTTGCGCTGGCAACTGATTGCGGATCATAACGAGCGACCGAACCGTATACAGTAATCTGTCCCTTTCTTTTTGAACTCGTCGGTAATATCACTCTGGATAGAAATTATTGACAAGTAATAAATTTACTGTTTGCTTTGGCTGGAGAAAATATTGCAAGTGGTTAATAATTAACACTGATGGAACTATCAGAATGGTCAAAAATGACCGACTTATGAATTTTTTTAAACACCTTGTAGAGCCAAAGTGTAGTATATTTTTTGAAGATTTAAATATTTTTTTGTAAAACATACGAATAGAAGCTTGTATTATAAAGTTTCTCTGTCTATTTGTCCAGTATTGAAAATTGGTAAACTAGTTAGACTAACGTGAATTTTATGCACCAAAGAATTGTCAGCAACGCGATCAAATTTTGCTGAACAGTGTAACTATAGTCATTCCTAAAGGAATATCTATATAGAACTCCCTGTGGTAATCAACAAAATGTTAACAAAGTTTCAGAAGATTCCTTGAAGATGTTTTATTGAAGGCTAAAGGATTTTTATTAATTTTTCTTGAGAATAGTATATAATATGGATGTTACATTTCGACAATCTTGAATTACAGGTGTCTCCACGGTGCCAAGTGTTCACCGTCCTCGAATTTCCTCGACTTTGCCTGCACTTGCACGGTCGGCTACACCGGCCGACTCTGCGACGAAGACGTGGACGAGTGTATAATGACCTCTCCGTGCAGAAACGGCGCCACTTGCCGAAACACCAACGGCTCGTATCAGTGCCTTTGCGCGAAGGGATACGAGGGTCGTGATTGCATCATCAACACCGACGACTGCGCTTCCTTCCCCTGCCAGAACGGTGGCACTTGCCTGGACGGCATCGGCGACTACACCTGCCTCTGCGTGGACGGTTTCAGCGGGAAACACTGCGAGATTGACGTGGACGAATGTCTGTCACAACCGTGTCAGAACGGCGCGATTTGCAAAGAGTACGTAAACTCGTACACGTGCCAGTGTCAGCTCGGATTCTCCGGCATAAACTGTCAGACCAACGACGAGGATTGCACCGACAGTAGCTGCATGAACGGCGGTAAATGCATCGACGGAATCAACAACTATACCTGCGTCTGCAAGCCCGGTTACACCGGCTCGAACTGCCAGTATCGCATCAACGAGTGCGACAGTTTACCTTGCCTGAACGGTGCCACGTGTCACGACCACGTTCAGTATTACACTTGCCACTGCCCTTACGGATATACCGGGGCCAGATGCGACCAGTACGTGGATTGGTGCGCGGACAGCCCCTGCGAGAATCAAGCCACCTGCGTTCAGCACAAGAACAAGTATCAGTGTAACTGTTCGCCTGGCTGGACCGGCAAGGTCTGCGACGTGGAGATGGTTTCCTGCAAGGACGCGGCTATAAGGAAAGGAGTGCCCGAGAAAAATCTGTGTAACAACGGCACGTGCGAGGACATCGGCAACAGTCATCGTTGCCACTGCCTGGAAGGGTACACGGGTTCCTACTGTCAGAAGGAAGTGAACGAGTGCGACTCGGCCCCCTGTCAGAACGGCGCCACTTGCAAGGACCTCGTTGGTTCTTACCAGTGTCAGTGCACAAAAGGCTTCCAAGGGCAGAACTGCGAGCTCAACGTGGACGACTGTAGGCCGAATCCTTGCCAGAACGGCGGCACATGCCACGATCTTATCAGCAACTTTAGCTGCTCTTGCCCTCCCGGCACGTTGGGCTTCATATGCGAGCTGAACGTGGACGACTGCGCTGTCGGCACTTGTCACAACAATGGGACATGCACCGACAAGGTCGGCGGCTTCGAATGCAAATGCCCGCCAGGCTTCGTGGGGCCTAGATGCGAGGGCGATATCAACGAGTGCCTGTCCAATCCGTGCGCATCGCCGGGTACTCAGGATTGCGTGCAGCTAGTCAACAACTATCACTGCAACTGCAAGCCCGGCTACATGGGACGCCACTGCGAGGTGAAGGTGAACTTCTGCGACAGCTCGCCGTGTCAGAACGGCGGCGTTTGCACCGCGAAGCAGGCTGGACACACGTGTCTCTGTCCAAGCGACTATTACGGGAACAACTGCGAGTTCGCCGGTTCCTATTGCGACCGGGAGCCTTGCCTGAACGGCGGTACCTGCAGAGTGGTTGAAACAGAGATCGGGTACAGATGTTACTGCCCGCCGGGAACAACTGGGACGCACTGCGAGATAGATTCCAGGGACGAGTGCGCCAGCAATCCCTGTCAACAGCCCAACGCCGTTTGCAAGAATCTGCTTGGCGACTACGCTTGCGACTGCCCGCCGAAATGGACCGGGAAGAACTGCGAAATTTACGATCCCAACTACGGCGGCGGTATCTTTGGCAGCCCGAACTCGAACATCCCGAAGACTATGAACGCGTACGATCTCGATCTGGAGATGGAGAGGAAGAAATGCATCGAGAACAGATGCGAGGAGAAGTCTGGCAACCACCACTGCGACGAGGAGTGTAACAGATACGCTTGTAACTTTGACGGGAACGACTGTTCCTTGGGTATCAATCCGTGGCGCAACTGCACCGCTCCCATCAACTGTTGGGACGTGTTCATGAACGACGTTTGCGACGAGGTTTGCAACAACGCCCAGTGCTTGTTCGACGGGAGAGACTGCGAAAGGAAATTGGCACCTTGCAAGTAAGTAACTTTAACGTTGGAGAAACGTTTGTGAAACGTTTCCATCTAACCTTGTATTAAATTTGTATTTTTTTCCTTTTTTCTTTTACAGTCCCATCTATGACGCCTACTGTCGCAAACACTACGCCAACGGATACTGCGATTACGGCTGCAACAACGAGGAATGCAATTGGGACGGTCTGGACTGCGACAGAGAACCACCGTCGTTGGCAGAGGGTGTGATCTCGGTGGTAGTCAGGATGGACATGCAAACGTTCCGCTCGAACGTGGTCGCGTTCCTGCGAGACATCGGCCACGAATTAAGAACCACTCTGAGAGTGAAGCAAGACGAGCTCGGCAACGACATGATATACCCGTGGAAGAGGGAAAGGGAGCACGGTTTGCAGACCAACATCTTTGGCCGACCAACCACCATCTACACCAACACTCAGAGTGGCGTGATCGCCTATCTGGAGATTGACAATAGAAAATGTACCGTCACCCAAGGTGCGGTGTGCTTCCCATCGGCCAACGAAGCGGCGGAATATCTAGCAGCCACCGCGTCCAAGCATTCCTTGTCCCGAAACTTCCCCATCGAGCAGGTGCGGGGCGTGGTTGGGCCACAGGGTCCAGAGTACCCGGACGCGCCGACCAACTACAAGTACGTTTTCATCGGCATCGTCATCGTGGTGCTCGGAGGGATGTTGGTCGGCGTGTTGGTCACAGCGCAAAGGAAACGAGCGGTGGGCGTCACTTGGTTCCCGGAGGGATTCTTGCGCACCAGCAGCGGAAGCGGTCAGCGTCGCAGATCGAGAAGACGAGGCCCGGACGGCCAAGAAATGAGGAACTTGAACAAACAACCGTCGGTGAATTGCATGGACTTGGATGTTGGGAATGGGAGAGCGCAACAGTGGTCGGACGACGAGTCGGATTTACCGCCGTCGAAGAGAATGAGGGCGATAGAGCCTGGATACGCCAGCGATCATACCGCCATTACAGATTACGAGGAGACGGAGCCTCGAATGTGGACTCAGCAGCACCTGGACGCAGCAGAGATTCGCAGACCAGACGCTGGAGTGTTGACACCGCCCAGTCTCGAGCACGGTCAAGACGTGGACCCGAGAGGACCCTGCGGGATGACACCGTTGATGGTCGCTGCTGTACGAGGCGGGGGATTAGACACCGGGGAAGAGGAGGATGAAAGCGACGGGACAGCGGCTGTGATCGCCGATCTGGTCGCCCAGGGTGCAGATCTGAACGCAACCACGGACAAGAGCGGCGAGACGTCTCTTCACCTGGCGGCTAGATACGCCAGAGCTGACGCAGCGAAGAGACTCCTCGATGCTGGCGCCGACGCCAACTCCCAGGACAACACCGGTAGAACGCCTCTTCACTCTGCCGTCGCTGCTGACGCGATGGGTGTCTTCCAAATACTGCTGAGGAACAGAGCGACGAATCTGAACGCCCGTATGCACGACGGGACCACGCCGCTGATACTCGCTGCCCGTCTGGCTACCGAAGGTATGGTGGAGGATCTCATCAACGCTGACGCCGACATCAACGCGGCTGACAACAGTGGGAAAACGGCCCTCCATTGGGCCGCCGCTGTTAACAACGTAGACGCTGTGAACATACTTTTGGTACACGGCGCGAACAGAGACGCGCAGGACGACAAAGACGAGACGCCGTTGTTCCTCGCCGCCAGGGAGGGCAGTTTCGAAGCGTGCAAAGCGTTGCTCGACACTTTTGCCAACCGAGAGATCACCGACCATATGGATCGATTGCCGAGAGACGTTGCCAGCGAGAGACTGCATCACGACATCGTCCGATTGCTGGACGAACACGTACCAAGATCGCCGCAGATGGTGAACGTGATACCGAACGGTCCTCTAATGGGCTCGCCGAATCACCCGCAGCTCATCACACACCCGACTGTGATCGGTTCCGCTCCGAAGCAAGCCAAGTCGAAGAAACGGCCGAAAACCGGCGCCACGGGGAATCCAAACAGCCCCGAGTCGGAGGCCGGTGTCGTGGTGGTGAGGCGAAAACCGTCGGTGAAGAAGCCACCGGCGAAACGCGGTGCTCAGCCCCCAAACCAGGAGATCCCTCAGGGCGCGGAGGGTGCGGAGGGAAACTTGCCGAGCCCGTACGACAGCGCGAGTTTGTACAGCAACGCGCTTCCGTTGGTGAGCCACACGGCCACCGCGAAACAACCACCGCCGTACGAGGACTGCATAAAGGGGCAATCGATGCAGGGCCTTCAACAGCTGGGCCTGGACACGTTCACGACCAATTACGGGTTGCCTAATTTTCACGACCAACTGCTAGCGTCGCATCAACGACAAGCGCAGGGGATGGTGAACACGTTGTCGCCGCCGTACAGCAATCAGTCGCCACCGCACTCGGTCCAGTCGAACATGACCCTTTCGCCGCAGGCGAGTTACATGGGCTCGCCGTCCCCGGCGAAAAATAGGCCCTCGTTGCCTACATCGCCCACCCACATCGCCGCGATGAGACAAGCGACGCATCAGAAACACGGTGGCATGCCACCGGTGGGATTCGACTTTGAGAATCTGCCCTATTCGTCGAGTCAGCAGCAGCAGCAGCAGCAGCAGCAGCAGCAACAGCAGCAACAGCAACAGCAGCAGATGCAACAGACGCAGCAGCAGATTCAACAGCAACAGCAACAGCAGCAGCAGCAGCAGCAACAACAGCAGAGTACTCAACAGCAGCAGCAACAGCAACAACAACAGCAACAGCAGCAACAGTACTACCAGTATTTGACGCCCCCTTCCCATCATTCCGGACCGGACGTGACGCCGCAGCATTTGATGCAAGCACCGGAGAGCTTCCCCACGCCGTCCCCGGACAGTCCAGGCCACTGGTCCTCCAGTTCGCCGCACTCCAACAGCGACTGGTCCGAGTGCATGGCGTCGCCGAACGCGTACGGTGCCGGGGCCAACCACCAAAGTAACAAAGGCTCCGAGGCAATCTATATATGAAGACGGCGGTGCTCTCTAGCTCGCGCGAGTAAGTCATAAAAAAACGTGACCATGGCGCACGCGCGCGCGTCAACTGTGATTTGGCTCGTCGAGTTCGAGGGCGATTTTCGCCGATATTCTCTTTCTTTTTCCACAGGGTGGCCCGTATCTCCCGTTGGAGACGGGATCACCGCAACGACGAACGCTCTCTCGTGAGGTGGACGGTGCGCGGATCGTTTTACATCCCGCGAAATGTCACGTTCTGTGGATGTTTGACGAACGCGTAACACCGCTGCTACAGCTCTATATATATAAATATTTATGAATATAAATATAGATGATATATGTATATGTACGGAGGAGAATATTCTTGTTCTTTAGATGGTGAATATATTATACGCAGATGCTAGCTCGCACGCTGTTTACAATAAATCGTTCAACGATCGTGCCTTTTCCCGGAGAATCTGTATAACGATTCGGCAGCAACGACGCCCCGTGATCAAGATGTTAGTTAGACGACATACTCTATGCAACCTGTTCGTGCATCGTGGCTCAACGAATAATGGTGCCTTCGACTTGCCACAGTGTGAAGACCCGTTTTCTTTCTCTTCTTCTTCTTCTTTTTCTTTTCTTTTTTTTTCTCTCTCTCTCGAAATAATAACAATAAGGAACGAAACCTTGCTATCTACAATAGTATTGTACATAAGACAACATAAAACACGGAAAGAATCACAGCGTCGCACGCTGGTCAAGTAGCTTGTTCGATAGGGACCACTATAGAGTGTAATATGTAATATTCTATTTAAATTTAAATGCAACGCATAATACTTTCTACGTACGGAAGAGAAACATATACGGACAATCGACGTGCGTTGCACAAGCTCCGATCATCATCGCGAGGCACTCTGTTCTTCGATACCTGCAACGATATGTCGCACAGAAGCAGAAGAGAAGAGGGACTTCGGTGGGAGGAAAGTCGAGAATCGTATAATTCGTGCCTTCGAATAATCGTAGAGTATAAGAAGAATTTTTTTTTTGTTTTTTTTTTGCGTAGATAAATTTATTAAATTATGTGTAGGTGTCTTGACGAAACGCAGCGTTTCCAAATGGCCTTTAATACCGATTAACAAACATGAGATATACTTTTAAATGTAAGATAGAAAGAAGTGTAAACGTAAACTTTTGTACGGTGGTCGACAGGAGCCTCAGAGAAATCGTCTTCACCCCGCGAAACGGATCGTTCCATACGCAGACATTCCATTTGAACAACGCTATTCTTCTCTTTGTCTTTTGTTTTTTTCTTTTTTCTCTCTCTCTCTCTTCTCTCCTTTTTGGAAGTATGTATCTTGCCTTCTTCTCTCCAACGCGATGAATATCCGTATAAATTTCTTTTTTTTCCCCAAGATCAATCAAATTTGCGGGTATCGTCCGACTCTATTTCGTTTTTATTATCTAACGGGCTCTAGCATAATCGTTAATCGTTTGACTTACCTTTTAAAAAGCGCACGCGACGTAAATGTTAAATTAAATTAAGCTAACAGAGAACGGGCGGTAAGACGATTCGCTGGCCTCTCTCATCTGCCAAAGCCAAAACGAGAGAGTTTTCTTCTAGATGAAAAAGGAAAAAAGGGGGGAAAAAAAACAAGAAAATGCGTGATCAGATCTGCTGGTACGTGCGCATAATAGGATTAGATTAATTAATCGTAGATTGTTACGAGAGAAAAGAAGCAATTATCGCCGATACCTCGTGGGAAATGATACTTTGTAACCGCGCTTCTAGCGACATGAATTTACCGAAAAATTCAGGACAATCGCGTCCTGAACTCTTGCTTGTTTGTTCCTTTTCTGTTTTTTTTTTCTTTTCGCTTTTTCTCTATACGGAAAATTTGTAAATATTCTTACAACATTCGCACTGCTGTTCGCCATCCTATCCACTCGTCCAGTCTTTACATATCCAGTACTTCTTACATAATTCTCTTTTCTCTCGATTTTGTACAAAACTGTTTTTATATAATTCTTTTTTTTTATATTATGTAAGCTAGGTTATCGAGTGTAGTTTCGTAAGGCGATTCTTCATATAGTATATATATATATATATATATATATCGTAAGGCGATTCTTCATATAGTATATATATATATACAATAAAATACCTAATGTTTCCTTTTTATCGTATCACATTATGATGACTCATAGAGTAGGGGAAAAAATATAAATATATATACATAGATATATATATATATATTTTTTTCTGTATATGTAATTGATTGTTGCGCAAAAGAGGATCGTCAAGCACGCGCTCATGCCCTTCAATACAATTATCTCGAACCGCATGTACACACGTGGTGGTGTGACGGAGCTTCTTCTCAAGCATCGGGACATGATGTAGCTTTCGCGAAATCTACGATGCTCCTAAATAGAAACATTTTTTTTTCTTTTTTATTTATATATAAAAAAATATATATATATATGTATACATAAAATGTTTGTATCTTCACACGACTGCCTTTGTATTTGTTAAAGCCACGAGAAGTCTGCCAAATAGCGAGATAATGAAAAATATCAAGAGATGTTGTGTCGATATACTTCTTCTATATATTTTTTTTTTTCTTTTTAGAATACTCCATTGTAAAAGATCGTACACGTGCTCAGACAATAATAAAGGTGAATTTCAACGAATGCGGTAGATGTTTATTCCGGTCAACAAAATTGGCATTTCAGTTGGAGATAAATCGTCGAGAAATGGGGGGAAAAAAGGGAGATTAAATGTGAAAGTCGAAGATTGTTAGACGAATGTAATCATTGTTATGTGTGTTCAAAAATGAAGACGACATCTCATTTCGAGACGGGACGCCACGACGCACCGACTTTTCACTGTGTTAAGCGAGAAAACAAGAAAAAAACAAAGCGACGACGAACTTGCGAGAGAGAGAGAGAGAGAGAGAGAGAGAGAGAGAGAGAGAGAGAGAAAGACGAATAGATTGTAATACACACTCCAATTTTGCAGTTTATCTACTGATAAGTTAGAGAAACTTCCAATCACTATGATAGATCTTGTTATTCCTTTGTAACTTGTAAAAAGTACTGAGTTTTATTAGTATTAACTATTCTATAAACTGAGGATTCGTTCGATCCTATTATATCCTGCTTTCCCTTATCCCCCCCCCCCCGGATAGTCTCGGATCCTCATATTTTTTATAAATAAGTTATGTCTTTGAAACAGATGTAATAATAAAGATAATCTAACATTCACAATAGGGTTGTTCTTCTCTTTTATCGTGCTCTGTGCTATCCGCGTTTTACTCCTTAATGATGTAAACATAGATATGTTCTCTCTTCTTTTCTATTTTTTTTTTCTTTTTTTAGTATATTACAACAGATTTTACACAACAATCAAATTGTATTATAGCAATAAAAAATAAAAATATCTGAAAATTTCTCGAACTTTGTTCTTCGTTGCTTTATTTCTTTATATCATTTTATTTTCCGCGACATCTTCAAACGAAGATACGAAAAATAAGAATTCCACTGTGAATTAAATTCCCCGCATAATTGTAAAATCTTCCTTGGATTCTGTACGTGCAAATATATTCAGTAAAACGTATATTATTCGCAAGTTTTCACAGTGATCCTTTCTAATGATGATAACGATAATGAAACTTGCACACGAACTATCTTGATTCAAATTTTGAATGTAATTCGCGCCCAATTATTTGTGCAACTACACACATACCTCGATCTATTAAGAAATATTTTTAAATTTTTAGAGGAGGAGAAGAAGAAATCTGAGAATATAATATCAAGGATACAACTGCAAAAGTTCGTAAATTAATCCTCCAAGTTAATTTTTTTTTTTTTTTTTGATAATGAAAATTTAATCGATTTACGGACACAGAAACGCTAGCGTCGCATAGCGGCGAAACGATGGAACTAAAATCTATCACGGTCCTTGTTGCACACTAGTGTCCTCTTTGTCTTTCTCGCAACGTGAATTTGTCCTTGTCGCACACTAGCACTGTCTTCGTCTGCGATAGTGCTGCCATCTCTCAGCTTCGACTGAAACTAAAATAATAAGATGAGAAAATCGTGTAGATGTCACCACCTATCTCGTTCGCAGACAAAAAAGGTACATTGTGTGACAAGGACAAACTTATACAGTGTGACAAACAAGGAGAGCACTAGCGTGCGACCAATAGATTTTAGTTCCAGCGTTTCACCGTTACGCGATGCTAGCATCTCAGTGCCCGTAAATCGAGGAAATTTTCATTTGTAAAAAAAATTAATTTGGCGAATTAATGTACAAACTTTTGCAATTGCATCTTCTAAACAAGACTCTCGGCTTTCCTCCTATACTCGATTTATCGTACGAAACGCATGATTAAAGTTTTACAAATTTCATTCGACCAGCGATCTCTCACGCGAGTAATATTTAGTTTTCGATAAATTTCATTATTTGTATTAAAATCACGTAATTCTGCACCGTAGCAATTTTTGCTATATTTAAAATTTACTACCTCTTCAATTAATATTAAACCGAAACATCAACTAGCAGCATATGATTTATTTGACGATGAAGATAATCTTCTAATTGTAATTAGAGGCTTTCATTTATATATTATATACGAAGAAGTCCGAGAGACGTGATTCAAATCGAATCAGAATGAATTTAGAATTTTGACGAAAACATTACATACACAAATGAGGAAGGTAATTATGCCATTCTCTGTTCTCCTAATCTTTACTAAGAATTTGTAGCTGAGCGACCGAGAATTATTTACTCGAGTCAGTTGTATCCCTTTAAGAGCTCATACAGCATTAAAGTCTCAAGAAGGAAGGACGTTGCGGAAAGTAGCTCGGAAACAAATATCGCGATCAAAGAATTTTATTTCACAAGCAGAAGATACTCAGTTTTCACCTTCATCGAAATTGGTAAGGTGCATTTGACTTTATTATGATTTACCGTACACCTTAGTATTTTAAGTCTTTTAATACCTAACAGCTGATATTTATCATATTTTAGCTTATTTCTGCAAAGAATGTTCTACATTTTGTTTGTACAAATATCTCCTAAAAAGCAGTATGTATGTTTTTACACATTCTGTTTTCTACGACGACAATTTGTAGCTCTATACATAGACAAATTGTAAATTTTATTCATAGTATACCATAACGTATCATTTATGAAAATACATTTACGTTTCACATTTATTTCAGTTAATCTCGCCGATAGTTTGCAAACATGAGGATCTCGCTCTCGGATGCCAAGAACATATTAACCCGTTTACGCATTATCATTTCTCCGGATTCCGACGAGAATATATCACTCACGATACAAATTGATACATCCACAGAACCTGAAGACATAATGCTGACTGCAAAATGCGATATGTCTTTGGATCTTCAGAGTATGGTTATAACTATACAAATCGACTAATTTTTAGACTTGATTATACTTGATTATACTTGTGAATTATGTATAAAAAAATCTTTATATCAAGAGAATCGATTTCTTAAAACATGGAAAGTAACATGTACTTGCAACAATTGATGTACATCGTGATATTGAGGCAACATTGATATTGGTAAAATTTATAATTTATAATTATTATATTGAAACAATTTATAATTTATAATCTCCTCGAATTGTCAAAGATACGAACTTACAGTATTAACGTTGATATATCTCCTAAAGGGAAGATGAATTAAATTCAGCATAAATTGAAGAGGTCATGAAGAATTCACTTTATTAAACGACGAAAGGAAACAAAATGGTCGCTGAACAACGACGATCGCAATATTCGTACAAAGTGCAGGCGGTGTATATACAATTTTCCACTCTCTTCTCTCTCACTCTCATACACGCATTACAGGAGTAACCTTAAGAATGGAAATATAATCAAGGGATCCTCGAATGAGGCAATTCCATTATCACACAGAAAATTATCGTCACGTTCTTCCTTATCTCGCTTCCGACGTTTGAGATATATCTCTCTGAAATTTGCTCCATTTAATATACATTAAATAGAGAAATCGAAATAGGGAATCCCATTTCTTTCTGCAGTTCATCAGATTTCGATCGATGTTCCTCGATGAGATCGTCACATCAGATGATCACTTGTTTATGTTTCCTTTTTTTCCCTCCCATCTCATTTCGTAGATTACAGTCGTACACCACACAAATTCAGATAGACACTTTTTCATTTCGCCTCTTTGATTTTGTCATTTATGCACAGACATATTTCCTCGCAGAAATCATATACAAAATTTCATTTCTTCTTTTTTTTTTTTTTTCTTCTTTAACGACAAATCGAATACTCGTTAAAGGCATTAGAAACACGTGCCGAGAAGAGTGTCGCAGAAAAATTATTAGCAATTTTGTTGGCACCTATTCGAGCGAGCTTTCGTTGCTTGAGGTATTTAATGCAGGTCGATCTGATTTAACGAGTATAGAAGAACACTAAGAAATCGTATTCGAGAAAGTTGAATATACTGTGACGCGTGCTGAAATAATTATACAACACTCGTATAAAACTGTACTTATTACATCGACAGTCTGTGTCTTTTAAAAATATTTTTCTTCTTTCTCATAAAGGATGTTTGGGTTCGATACTTTAACAATGAAGTTCTATTCGTATGAAAGTTCTCTTTAAAATTTTTGTACACTTTTATAAACTTGTACATTACACTGGTAAAATTTAATACTTTCCTTTCAATGATTTTTCTTTTTTAACAAGTTCTGGAAATTTTTGTTCTAGCAGACTTCTATCGATAGCAAATTAAAATGCAAAACTGTAAATGCAATTGAATTGAAATGCAAAAAATAACGTATAGTAAAAAGTTTTTTTTTATAAAAAAAAAAAAAAGAGAAACAGATGTATTCAGTCAGACTTGCTTATTCTCCTTTGTACTAAAATTTTCGTTTATTTTAGCGAGTACCTCGTATACTTCAATACACGTGAGAACATACGCAATGAAGTACAGTCTATGTAGTATTCACTAGAAAATCATAATTAAAGATTCTTCTTGTTCAGAAATAGCATGTTTATTAAATATATATACGTTTGGTGGCTATGAACAATTTTCTCGTACAAAAATTCTTTAAACAGTGCATATTTACATGGAACATCCTAAGTACCCTTGGTTCGAAGTGTGTATTTAGCTGCTAATAATTTTTCTTTGATCACAATTTTCTTCGTATATCTTGCTTTCCATCGCAAAACACATGTTTAGAATTCGTTCGTTTCACGACGAAAACATTCTTATTTCTTTTTCCCTTTTCCTTTCGATTCGAACTAACGACGGAGACAAATTATTCGGGCAACCAGCACTCGAATTTCTTCATTTCATCAGAGAGAAAAAAAAAAGCGTACAAAGACTCGAACCAATTGTTACACGATTGTTGTTGTCAATGCGATGCATACGGAATCGAACAAAAGGAAAGAATATCACGTACGCCGAGTGTTACTTGTGTCGAGAAGAAACATTTCATTGCATTTACTAAATCGGCGGTCGTCGGTAATCAATTATAATATGCCTTAAAGCAATTGATAGCTGTACTATTTACTGGCATACTTGGTATTATTTATTAATAAGTTCTTTCTCCTAAATGAAAAAAAAAAAAAGAAAAAAAGAAAACGAGAAACAATATTCGAATTATTATTTTTTCGTAATTGTTCTATGTGAAAATATATTTCATTGCTATTTGAAAAATATCGTGCATTTAGGAATTAGTCGTCTTTCGAATTATATAATATAAAAATCTTGCCCGGATGATACATCAAATTACACGAAAATTATTGCCACGAATCGATCATTCAGGCATTGCACAATCAACATCGAGCACATGGGAATGAAAAATATTCCGAGAGTAAATGAAACGGGAATCGTTGATCATCGTTAATAATCGTGACCGCCTATTTGATAGATGCAATCGAATGCAATCTTTTCTCTCGCGCTGAGAAGAATATAAAGAGCAGTGTCTAACGAAACCATGCACACGGAGACGACATACTTCGAATACATTCACCGGAAGTGAGTCTAAGAGGAACGACGGCTCGCTTCTCTTCGACGGTTTTCGGCCTCTATAATCGTGTATAAACGTTTACGCAAACGTACATTACAACTATGCGTATTCCTCGCGTATTTGCATTAAAAAACGGGAATTAGGGGGACGGGGTGGGGACAGTTGTATCTGAAAGAGGTGGGACTATATTTACATTGATACTGGCAGTACATCTTCATTCCGTTGTTGCTTCATCGTGGAGACTGGAAACTGGAAACGCCAAACGTCGAGCTTTCGATATACATAATCCAGTACAAGTCGTACTCGTACGAACACATCGATTTACTCAAATCGAACGCATTTCCTTTTTTTTTTTTTTTTGCTATCTCGTGCGTAGAATAGCTCCAATAATTTTCTCGTGATTCTTTGCTTCGTCTCGAAGCGATTGACGCTGATTTCTTTTTTTTTCTTTTTTTTTTTCTTTTTCTTTTTTTTGTACAGAAGATGATTGTTTCCAAGTGGATTTCGATCGCAGGAATTTCTCTGGGATTTCGTCCCTGTCGCTTTGTCGCCTTCGTATTGGCCTCATACGTTGCGCCACATTCCAGATCAAGTAGACAGATCCGTGAAACGAAAGCAGTTTTTTCGCTCTCCTTTCGAGATGTAAAACTTATCTTCGTTTTTCTTTTTTTTTTTTTTCTCAATTTATTGATGTACGAAGCAACTTGAAACATCTGCGAAATATCTTCCGTTCCACATTCGTCGATTCGATCTAGAATTAGCATACTTCTTCAAGGTGATCTCAACGAAACGGGTCGCATCGGCGCGGAAGAACAGTCGCTTCCATAAAAAAACTTATAATATAAATATTAAGAATGTAACAAAAATGGAAAAGATTAAAGGGATTAAACAAGGTATTGTTTAACAATACAATGCGATAACACAACGCCCGATTAAGTAATCAACTTGAATAATATGTTCACCGATACAAGCGTCGATCCTAAATCGTTCTCTCTAACGTAATCTACTTAAGAAATGTACATGAGAAACAATGAAACGATTACGAAGCTTCGATGACGCTGGTCGAGAAGAGAAAAGAAAATGAAATCGTTAACTGTTTCTTCAATCTATTTTGATGACCGTGTTATTCGATCGTTCGTGCGAAAAACTGCACGAATTTATAATCCTTTCCCTTTTCTTTTAGAAAGGGGAAAGAAGGAAGGAAATAAAAGCAGCTCTACGCGTGTATTTACGAGACTCAAATATTTCTATTTAAGTTTCCCGTTCATGATGATGCGCGAAGAAGAGAACGGGAGAATAATAAAAAAAAAAAAAGAATCTATAAACGTAACAACGTTCGTTTGATTAAGAAATTAACGTATCATAGCATAGTATTGTCTAACGTCGTTTATTAAATTATAACTTAAAGATGTTTGGCAGTGTCTTCGTCCAACATTTATTTATATGTACGTTTCCTTTAGAGAGTATGTATAACGTTCCGCGCAATTAGAAATAAGATATTCCTACTGTTTGAGTATACAAAAGTTATTACGAAAGTTGCATCGTGTCGCATGTATAATGCAATTACAGTTTGAACACACTTGAACACATTCTTTTTTTTTTTTTCTTTCTAACGTACAAAGACAATCAGAACATACATTTTCTTTTTCTTCGGGAAGAAAAGAAAAAATTAGAAAAACGAGAAACAACAGGAAAGAAAAAAAATCAATAAAGAAACGTATAAAAAATGAGTGCGTGTTTAACTGGCAAAAAATTATATGTACATATGTATGTTTGCGTGTGTATGTATATCTTAACCGACTTGATTCAAGAGTGCCATTACTAAAACTGAGCTTCAAATAACAGTCGGTCGCGACATTGTAAAATTCTCTCTAAAGGAGTTACAAACATAGAAAGATGATCATTACGTATAGTAGATTAAATAAATAGCACTTAAAAATACCTATCTTAGGTAAGTCTGTCTAAACATGAATGACTCGCGGATTTTTTTCGTACCTAGACGTTTAGGAAAAATTCATATGATTTTCGCTTTACGAAAAATCGAAATTCATGAAACGAACAAATGGCATATTTGCTTAATTAGATTCTTTTATCTCGATTCTCTCTTTCAGCATCTAAAGAAAGACTGATTAACAGACGACTAAAACTCTCCGTACTTTGTTTTTTTTTTTTTTTTCGTTGTTACTTCGCAATATAATCGATTTTTAATGTAATTATTCGAGACGATCTAGGAAATAAATATAAATTGTATAACTATAAAAGTAACCATATAGGCAAATAAGTTCTTTCGACTTTTTTTTTTAATAAGCTCTTTCGATTCAAGAACTTAACGAGAATCATGTTCAACATTTAATCGTTTCTCAGATGTCTACAGATCCTGTGCTTGTAAATCGAAACACGAATCAGACAAAAATAAATCGCAATGCAAACAATTTTGTACGAATATTCATTGTTAATTGCATCAATTCAGGTTGTATCAGCGTTCGTTTAAAATTCATTTCATGGAATTTGAAAAATTTTATTTAAACTGCGGAAAAGTATTGCCTACGCGGGTCTCTATTGAACGAACGAATAAATTTCACATGCCCTACATTTTTTTTCTTCGCTTTAATTTTTTTTCTGTAACAAGAACAGTTTTATAAAGATTCACTACGTTTCACGTTCAAAATGATCTCTCCAACTCGGAAAACCATATAGAGAAAATTTACAACGTTATCTTTCACACAGATAACTTTGGCCAACCACTTACGTACCCAGCTTTGCAACTTTTTAAATTGTACGTTACTATGAAATAGGTATGATTTTTCCTCCTAGTTTTGTATAAGTATGAGCAATGCTAGAACTGCATCTTCATCATCTTGAACCCTATAGAATAAAAATTCTCGAAGATTTCTATAACAAACGGCTGCATTGTTTCCGACTATAATTATCAAATATTTAGAATTTGAACGTAATATAGTCTAGTTATAAAAGACAAATTGGTGCAGATGTGGCAGTATGATTATGTGTGATAATTTTGATTTTAGTTATATTGTCATATAAAGATGAAGATGAAAACAATGGTTCAAGAAGATCAAGTTACAGAAGCTGATGTCTATCTCTACGATTGTATTGAAAAATAACCTTTGCAGAATGTCTGCTTCTTTTTTTTTTTTACTCCATATTTTTCATTTACTCTTTAAACACTAACTACTAACGGTCGCTAGTATGTTAGCTCAAGTGAGAGGAACAACTGTTAGTTTTTCAATTCGCGTTTTCTCTTTCTCGTTGGGATTATGATTTGCTCCGTAATTTACAAAAAGGAGCGATTGGCCAATTTTTAATAAATGCAAAACCCGACACAAATGATCCCTTTGTTTTACATTTGCTTTACATTTGTTGATTTTTTTTTTCAGCGAAACTACTATGCTACAATATATACATTTCATAAAGCAATGTACCTGATTGTTCTTGTAAATGTTTTTTTTTCTCACGTCATTTCTTCTTATTTGCCTCTGTATTAAAATAGATATAGAAACGTTAATTGAATTTTGTGCATCGAAGGTAATCATGGACGGTACATTTTGAATGTAAAATCTGAATTAAACGAGAAAAGAATGTACGTTTTCTGATTTACGAAACGAAACAAATGTGTGAATCGGTTTTTCTACTTTTTTCACTTTAAATATATGCGGCAAAGTAAATTCACTGTCCAGCAATGAATTTACTATTACTATTGTTTGGAACGTTGTCTTCGAAAGACATAGTTTCTTAAACGAATGAAACAAAATTTACATTTGCAAGAACAGTCACACATCGTACACCAATTAATATATACCTATTACATAAACATATGTAACGAATGGCAGTGCACGTGACACAGATCAATTTGTCACTAATCGTCTTTCTTACACACCGAGATTTGAAAATGATCGAGCAGCAATTTAACCCTTTGCAGATAGGACTGTGATGCACGAGCATATCGCCTGAACGAGTGTTTAGCGGAAAGCTGATTTATGCATGAAAATTTATAACACAACATATAAATTTTATACTGCATGAACATACATACATATTTTCATTGTCATTTGATTCAATATAAAAATCATCACTGCTGATAATGTAATATCCTTCATGCTTCTCTTAGACATTGTAGAGTCATAGCAGAGTAACTTTTATAAATAATAACCTAAATAATAATATAATAAATATAATAAACTTTATATGTAAATCTAGAGATGAATGAACTATTGGGATATGTGTCGAAAGCTTTAGGCAAGACTGCAATTATCGTGTACGAATGCGCGCAATTCGAAGAAATCAACCTATAAAATTTGAGTAGAAAGATAAAACGCTACAAAGGCTGCTCTCCGTAAACACGCGTCCTGAACGATAAAAATGCTTGTGCTGCTGTCCGCAGATACGTATCCTAAACCGTAAAAATACTTATGCTGCTATCACGTGTTCGCAAAGGATTAATATTGCTCTTGCTCAATGTTAACAAAAATTTTATACGACTGCAATGCATTTATAATCATAAACAAATTATTTATTGTTAAGTGTTGAGTCCCTCCCACTCGATTAGGTATTGAGTTTGACCGTTTGGTCCTATCCTCTTTGCTCTGATGACGAACTTTTCACCAGCAGCGATTCTATTAGCTGCTCCAAAATATATGTTCACCGATGACTTTAAATCATCCAGAGATATGTCGGGAGCACTTTGTTTAACAGGTGAACACTTTGGAGATGAAGGTACACTACCTTTCTTTTGCGGTTGCGGATCTGGGGGCGGTAATTTGTCATTGCTTTGACGTTGTCTTAGTCTTCTCCCGTTTAAGGCATAATCGACACAATTTCCAATTTGACTACTAGCACTGCTTGAGGCACCGTTAAACGAACTTCTTAAATTCCTTGCAAACTCACTTTTAACTTCGTTGTTACGTGCCGGTAAGATGGTTGCCGTCTTACTGGCAGTATGTTGATATTGTTGTTGTATTTGTTGTTGCGACGGACGTCCTCTCCGATGTTGACGTCTACGTTTTACTTGCCCGTTTCTGTCTATAATAATGTCTTTTTCCGATAATTGTCTTTTAGCTGGCCGTACTACCGGCGGTTGAGATATAACAGGAGTAAGCGGTAGAGGTAATGTAATTGGACATTGATTGTACGGTGATTGGGTACTTTGGTTTGTTTGATTGAGATTAGCAGCCGTACCCAATAAATCACTAAGATTTCTGAAAGGATTATTCTTGCCTTCAAAATCTTTCGGTGGTGGAATAAAGGAGTCCAAGGTTCCTCTTGAGCTGGTTTCATCTCCACTGGTATCCGCAGGCGTAGATGGTGGTAAAGGATGCATCAATTCCACAGAACTAGGCACAGATAATTCAGATATACCCGAAGTTGTAGCTGGTGGTGTAGGTGGGCCAGATACTGAAGTTGGAGGTGTCGGTGGTAGATCAGACGTTTCCGAATTGCGTGATTTACTCTATAATATACGAATTATTGGATCGAACTTGTCTAAATATAATAATAGCAAATAATGATATTTTTGTTATTTGTTACCTTAGCTATAGCATTTTTCAATAATTTCCTTGCTTTCCTGTATCTAGCTTCTCGAACACCCTGAGCCTTGCTTAGAGCACTATCACCTTTCTCTCTTTTTTTGTGTTTACGTAACATTCTTTCACGAGAACTTCCTAATGCCATTAAACGTCTTCTTCTTTGCAAACTGAGCTTGGGAAATGGGAATGATTTTTTTACAAAACCACCTCCGATATATCTATAAAAAAATAAAAACCTGAAGTCTTTTACGAAACATGTTACATTTTGTCAATGCAATGAACTACTCTACCTTTCTCTCAGAGATTGTGTAGACTGATTCAATGGACTTGGACATGAACTTTGTTCTGCTTCCGAATTTTGATAAATTGTTCCACGCATTACTACGTCCGATGGATTTACTGGAATCTCTAAATTTTCTGCTGTACTTTGCTTTAGTGCAGTTAATTGTTTTGTACTTTCTGGTAAAGATATCGGTCTGGAACGAAACGATACTTCTTTGATCATCGAACAAATAATTAAAACATATATTTTAAATAATAATGTTGCAGCAACTAACCCTGTAGGTGGAGGAAGATATTGCAGTCTTTTATTAGCACCCCAGCATCTACGTAATACAGAATCATCTATTACACCAGTTGCTGGAAGATTAACAATAGGACATGGTGGTGGTAATCTAACTCTAAGACCCCATATCGTAGTACGTTTCTTTATTTCTCGGCCGCATTTGAATCTGTTCCTATTATTTGTCAATATTGCTAGTATAGATTCTCTGCGTATTTGAGCACTGACATCCCTGATCTAATAATAACAAAATAAACACATATTTTAATGAAATTTAATTTAAAATTCATATTTAAAAAGTTTTACAAAATAACTCACCCGTGGAGGAAGCTGCAAAGTATTCCAGTTATCATTGGCATAAGGTACAATAACAGTGTCCAAATCATAATACTTTTTAGCATTGTAAACAGTTAAATTGTACAACATCAGGTGCACCAGATCTACCCATTTCAATTCCAGTCGCCGTACGAATTCCTTGCCATAATTGCACATTGAACAAACAAATACATAAAACCTATAAACCACATTAATCATTAAACATATTTTAGAATCAAGTAAAATTTGAAAGAGAAACCAAAGAAATTTGTGCATTAAGACTTGATCATTTTTATTTACCTATCTCCACTGTATAAAGGATAAGTCAAACAACTAACACATTTTTCATGAAACCATTGCTTGCAACGAGCACATTGTAACATTTGTGTATACCATTCACCATTTAGTCCACAATAGCAATAAATTTGTTCTGCATTTACTCTATGATGTGCGTCCCAATTTAACATATTAGGCTGCAACAAACATTAACTATTGATTTTATCAGTATTTCAATGTATCTTTCAAGAAAACAATATATATTTTAAAATATGATTAAGAAAGTAACAGCTCGTTTATTATCATTGATTCATTACTCAAACTAAGATTAGAAAACTTTATTTCAGACACTTACATCATACGGCAACTTTGTCATATCATCTGGTGGCGGCTGAGGTTGGTCCCTACCACTGCAAACTTTTCTGATACTTGCCTTTACCATAGAAGTTTTTGGTTCTACAACTTCACGTGTCCGTGGTTGACTATCTACACATCTTTTACACATCCAATGTGCCTCAGCTGAAGTTTCTTCTTTTAAAATTTGAGGCTGCAAATAATCATATATGTATGATTACATATAAAATGTTGATCTGTTATTTAAATATTAATTTCTTATTACCTGGTGACAAAGTTGATGATAACCACGACCACATTTGTCACAAACAATAATGTCATTATCAGTCTTGGGCTGAGATTTTTTACAAAGTACGCACATAACATCAGAATCTGGCATTGAAAGCTTTGTCAGCTCCTTAACAGAGGACCACGAGGAGGTGTTGTCCATAAATTTGACAAGGCATTTCTCCCTTGCCAAATCCACCTGTATATACGGTGTTTAATAGAGTTTCTTCTAGCTATGTTAAATATAGTCTCTTCTAACTATGTTAAACTTCTAATTATGTTAAATCTAACAGCGAAACATAATTTAATTATGTTTTATTAGAAAATATAAAAAAATCAATATTTGAAAATTAATATACAACTGTACCTCAACAACTGTTCCAAGATAATATTTTCCATCTTTGTGTTGTAGAAGAACATCATCCCCATGAGAGAAACCTAATTTCTGTTCCCTCGTAGTGCTATCCGGCGCTGCCAGACTTTCTTCTGGCTCTGACATTTTCTACCCTGTGTCTATAGTCATACAAAACCATAACAATATATATAAGATTAACAATCAAATCAGATCTAAATAATATAATTAAACAATTGTTATTTAACTTGATCCAGGTGTTACAAGGGTAGTTTCAATAAAGATATTTTGATAAAGTCATTTGAATATTATTTAATTTCTAATTGATATTAATATTTATCAATATAAATACAGGAACTTATAAAAAATCGTTACATAGAAAAAATTTGTTATGACTTGACAGCAAATAATAACAATATGATAAGTTCTCTATATTAGTTATACTAATATTACCATACGTGTATTTGTGTTAAATTATTGTTTAATGTTATAATTATAAAATACGCAATACGAAAGTCAATTTTTTATGAAATAGATAGCATCCTGGGAAATAAAATTGTACATGTTTAATTACAACAATTACATTAAGGTGGTTAATATCTCGAATAGAAAACCATGTTAATATAGAGTCTTCTTGCAAAATGTTTGTTGAAATCCGAAAGGAAAGCAAATCTTACATGCACGTACACATAATTGCTTGGTCCACGCAAATGTGCAAAATAGATGGTCGTCCGCCAAATCATTCATTTATGTACGTTTCCATTACAAGCGGCGATAAGTACGTTACAAGAATGAAAAAAGTATCGCGAATACCTGCGAAAGAAATAACGACCATATGATCGGCATCTCATTAAAAACCAGTCCGCGCGCTCTTGCTCTCGTTAACGAACGAGAGCACCTACAAATGCTGTTCTAAACAAGACGAGACGTCGCGCACGAGCGGCTACACTTTCGAAAACATTTTTATCGTGGATGACAAGTACTGAATGAGATCGAGCTTACTGCCGATTAGGGGAACAGAGGAGACCTTAAAACCTAACTAATTGACGAAGACACTGGCGATACGATAGACACGAACAACCCCCGGGACAGCTCCTAGCACCGGGCGGTACTTGGACCGGTGGTGGTGTTTTTAGGACAGAAGACCGCGCGAATATCGTTCGATCTCCGAACACCTTCTTTATGTCGTACCTCAGCGTCTTAGCCGTCGAATCACGCGCGACGTTCGGACCTCATTTTCCGATTCCCGTCAGCCATTTACAACCATGGGGGCCCCGCCACGGTCGGTCGCTCTCAGACACACAATCGCGGCGCGGCAAAACCCTATCCCGTGAAGTCAGGATGGCGACACGCCGGCACGCATGCAACCGATACGATCACAGCGGCGCCCGGGTGTTTACGTCGACCACCCTCAGGATCACCACACGCCCTTAGTCAAGGACATCACCGCCGCGAACTCGGTGCACTCTCATTGTGTCCCTTGAAAATTCGAATAAGCACCGTCCGCCATGTTCGGGGAAACACTTGCTAGAAACTACGTTAATCAACTAACCTACTGTGGTGCCAGTGCTCCCCACAGGGACGTCGAACTAAACAGAAATGCCTGTTCCTCGCGTTAAATTTACATTTCTGTTTAAAAAGTGCAATGCTGGTATCGAAGCTCGCAAAATGATTATAAATAATCCATTACATTCAGAACAATTAACGTTCCATAATTTGTTCGAGATATTTCAAATAGATACAAATATATTTTTTATGAGATAATCTCCTCGATTTTATTTCATTTTTCAATATAAGAAAATTGCCGATTAAGTTATCAACAAGCTAAACGCAAATTAAATGCCGTGTATCATGTTTTCGTATACGTATAGAAATTTATCAACAATATGGTGCAGGGTGTTTAAATCTTGGTGTACTGTCATGGTCGTTAGTTGGACGTTCTATTGTGGTACAAGTATAATATAAACAATTGATGACAACGTAGCTAGAAATTCTGTTATACCGTGATAATTACAAGAAATTACTGCAATAATTTAAACCGTAAAAGAAGTTTGGATTGGACGATGTATAAAATCTTTCAACAATTAGAGCAGTATATCTTTCATACACAACATTCTCGTCGTCTATACCCTAGACCCGTACAAGTTTTGTTACATTTTAAATAATCCAAAACAGACTTTAAAGTATGTTATAAAAAATATTGCAGCAAATGAATGCAATGATTTGTTTCAAAAACAAAATTCTCATATATCATATTGAGTTTTATTGGATTTTTTAAGATTGCAATTGCAATCGCTTCGTGTAATTAATCTGTAACCAAATGTAACAATGCCATATAATTTTTACGTACAAATAACGATTCTACCATTCTAATCTCAGATATTTGTATAAAATATAATCTGTAAAAGCTACACAACATTTTGGTCATTAGTTATTCACACATTAACTGATCATTGGATATTGAATGCGCTCTAAAATTAGCTGTAATTGTTCAATCGGCAAAAGAGTGGAATACAAATCTCTTATGCCTAACGAAGTAATACTTAAGCTATTCACGTATTCGCAAGTGAAGGGTTGCTAACTTGGAAGTTGAAGCATGTAACTTTTTTTTTTTGCTCGTAACTCACCTGTCGATTTTTTTTTTATTTAATTTCAGCAGCTCTTCATGTTCAGAAAGCAAAAGCCAGACACGCCATTTTGAAATGGAAAAGATCATTTGTTTTTTGCTCACAATAGTAAGATAATTTTGCTTGCATATTTATACCTATAAATATTATAATTACAACAGAATTTGTTAGGAAATTAATAAAAAGTAAAAATTGGAAATAAACGTAATTTATGTTTACAAAAATAAATTGATGAAATAGTAATTACATACATTGTGTGCAATGAAGTTTTGTGTAATTGTAATAAATAGTTATAGTGATCTGAAAAATATCTAATATGCATAAAATTCGTATTACAACGTATAGAAACGTATAGAAAAATATGTAAAACATTTAGGACTGTTTTTTATTTACATAAAATATATAATTGAATATTCTACAAAAAATGCAGAATTTTTTCGCAAAACATACTTTATTATTTAATACATCTTATTTACATACTCTAACAATGATGCATAAATTGCATATAAGAACATTTTTGCAATATGAAATATCAAGACATTGTTTTGCAATTTGTGTAATAAAAAATTGTAATATATTAGTATGAATGATATAAACTAGGTATAATCCGATATATCAAGATCAAATTTGTCATCTATAACATTTTTGTACAAAAATGTTTTTTTGCATAAGTATTTATCGATTTATTAAAAACATTATTATTTCGCGATTAATTGTAAGATTACGTTATTTTTCGCAAGTGTCGAATATAATACAATTGCGCGAACACGATGCGGCTTCTTTTCAACTTTATCAAACAATTATATAATTATTATTATTATTTATAACAAATTTCATAATATATCATAGAATATCTTTTAAAACAGCTTCTTTTTTACTGCTGTATATCTTTCCATATAGTTATCATAACCATCGAGATTAGCAAATTGTTTCATTTCGAATAAATTTCCTTCGACCGATAAAACGGAGACCTTGGAATTTTTCAAAATCTTTGTGGGTATCGCACTCAGTTGCAGACAATTTTCTTCAAGCCTTAATGTTTTTAAGCGCGAACATTCCGCCAGTTTTTCAGATATAGTCGATATCTGATTTTGATTGAGGTTAAGTTCAACCACATGTAACGCAGCAGCCGCGTCGGGGATTGTCGTAATTCGATTTTTTGACAAGTCTAGTACGTCCAGAAATTTTAAATCGCAAAACATGGGTGGGAATTCGGTTATACGATTGTCAGACAGATTGACTTGTTTCAAACGCGTCAATTTAGACAAAGACCATGGGACAGTTTTTATTTGATTCGAACTTGCACTTAAAGCTTCTAACTTGGTCAATGTTCCAAGCGCCTCGGGCAAAGTGGTCAATCTGTTATGATTAATATTCAGTTGCTTTAACAATGTAAAATTCCCAATTTCATCTGGAATGTGAACAAATTTGTTTTCCGATAGATCCAACGTGCGTAGCAATGGCGACAATGCTAACAGATTTTGTGGAAATTCGTCGAGTTTCCTCTCTGACAGTTTTAATGTTCCAGTTTTCTTTGCAGTCTCATAATGTTGTTTCAAGCCAGAGTTCCCCATTTTATGTTGACATCAAATAAAATAAACCGTACAATTATTCTCAATTTCTCTATGTCATAAGTAATATTATGATATTTTCTATCAATCTTCGAGAGGCATAAACAGAGATGGAAAGATATAATTTTCGTCGAATGTACTTTATTTTTTAACAAATGATTATCCAATTTATCAGAAATTTATACATTTTTCGTCGACTATTCAGTACTTACTCCTCGTCACGATAAATGTGAAACCACCGAAATACTTTTTGTTGGAGATTGTATTGTGGACGACGACTTTTGCATAGCACTGTATCAACATATGTAACCAATATCGTTGTCGTTGCGCCGCTATTCCTCCGATTAATTTTCACACGACGACAATGCTTGCAAGGCGAAATCGTTGCAACGGATTAACCGGCGTCGTAATTTATATCCTTCTACAAGCGTGAGAGCAAAGCATGTTGCGTTCGTGAAGATCAACCGTTCGTAAACATGTTTTCAAGATCGAAAATCGAGTCAGATATGTCACCCGAATGACAGACCATCGGCCATATTGGCCTGGATGGTGGTTGTGTTCAAATTTCGACCGCACGATGGCGGTTCGCGCGCTCGCGCCCCGAAACATGGCTGACAAACGAAGATGTAGCGGTGCACGTCGGGTTTACATTAGACTGAAAACGCCGCGGCAGCTACTGGTGTGTAGTTTACGATGCAGTCATTCGTAGAAATGGTGAGATAGTGTCGTGACTCGAGAGGACATACTACCGGCTAGCGATGGCCTCCACGCCGAAGTCGGAGAAGCATGCAGGTGAGTGAGCGATACTACGTACTATGACCTACGATGAAAGAGAACGTATACGATGCTCTGCGACAACTACGAAACCCGGCCGCCGTGACCGTCGTTTCTTTCCCTCTTTTGTTACTCAAATTTCGATCCGCCAAGAACACAACGTGTCGCGAGAATCTCTCACAACTTAACGTCATAACGTCGAACGCTGCTAGAACAACTGCCGCGTTAATCTAAATATTAGTGAAGTAATCCTTCACAGACGCTACCGGACGCGAAACGTCAAAAGCATATGCGTGTGGCCTGAAGTGTGTAAGCTCGTTGCATCCTCTATCCTGTTTTCTCTTTTTTGCATCGTCTCGTTGCTACATTCATAGTTTTATATCTGACAATTGCGAGAAGTAGCTTTTTCAGACGATAAACATCACGCTCGGCTAATACCAATTATAAGCGAAGGATAATCGATCGTTAAATCTGAGCGTTCATAATTTCATCTTTCGTTCGATTCATAAAGATCATCGATTGTTTCGCGTTGCTCTGGATTTTAGAGATTCCGATTCTCGTACGAACTATTGGCGAATTTGTTTTTAACGTTCGAATCTACTAAAATTGAATGTCGCATCGTGGCCCAAAGGAGCATCGCGTCGAGAAATCATTGAATTGATGTTGCCCGATGCGAAAGAGGAACCGCGTGAAGAATGGAGAGAATGGCACGAGAGGTGGAGGCATTGTGTTGAGTTTCTCCCTCTCCTGGCCCATTCGAGTCGAGATTCGTCCTGATGCTGCGATCACTTCTGCAATCATTCTCTTTCTCGAAAAACCAGTCATACGTTCCGTGGTAAATGCACGACACTACACTACACTGGTAATAATACGCGGTTGCCCTGGGGTGTGTGTATGTGTGCGTGTGTGTGTGTCAATAAACCGTCCACGCGCCAGGAGCAAGCCCAATGTAATTCGAACAGCTGCCCGTGTCACACAAGCTTTTTAATCCGCATTCACACCCTTCAAACAAAGAGTTACTTGCAACCTCGTCATCCATGCGACAATATTTCCACGATATCCGCGTTAACACGTTCACAACGCGTATCTCGTGTGATTGTGATAACAATTTGGTTGATCAAAGTCACAGTAAGAATCATAATATTTTAATAATACACACACATATGCGAACTTTTATAACAAAGAAATAGAGTTTGTATAAAACTATTGGCGAACAGGTTGAAGCCTCGAAAACTAAAAAAAAAAAAAAAAACATTTTAAAAATTGTAAATTGGAATGCGACAAATAAAATACGCGGTTTTTCACTTTCTGGGTGCGCGATTGGTAGAAAAGAGAAATTGGGGTTTGAGTCATAATATGCTCGGCTTTTATTTTATTATTATAATAACAGGTGCTATTTATCAGAATTGATACGTTCGACCTCCGAGGGCTGGTGATGGATAGATACTCTTAAGTAAAGGCAGTTTGATCAATTTGCCGGATAACGAGTAGCAACTAACTCAGTATATACCCTACGTCATCTGTCGCTGGGTAATTGTGTTTAATGCGAGTTGATTTGTTCCCGGTTGAAATCATGGTGTCTATCACGTTCTGGCATCGTATGTTCTGAAAAATAAATCCCCCATCAACGGGTTGACGAACGCGTGACGCGTAAAAAGATACATCAGTTGAAGTTATTATCGATTGCCAAACTTTTAACAATGCTTCTACCATCGCGTCAAATTGAAAAAGAACTGTGCTCTTTTTCTACGTCTTTTAAATATTGACCGATAGTTTGTTAAGGAAACGAATTCAAAGAAATAGAGGAATATATTTTTAAAGAATCTAATGAAATGAATAACAGTTGCCTGAAATTAATCTTCGATGGTATTAATTCATTATTTCAATCATTAAACGTGATCACAATCCATGAAATTCAACTATTTACGCAATTTTGATTGAATTTTAACAACACAATAATCGCCATCAGTGCATAAAGCAATAATCCTTTAATGTTAATCTTCTAACAGTATCTGTGCATTCTAATTGATACAAATTATATACACAAATAAATATACATATACATATGTATAACAGATATGCATTCCTATTATTGACAAGGAAATGCCAGTCAAACTGCTTCTATCAGTAAATTAGATATTTGCACTCTTGAAAATGAAGTGTCTCCTGCGAAAGCCATAGCTTCATGCGATATGTCATTACGTGCGATCTCTTCTCAAGAGAGTAGTATCATATCTTTCCGTTTGGAAAAGATTCCCAGTTGAAAAGTCCTCGGATTTATCACCGATGAAATATTTATAAGACAATGCCAGAGGAAAGAGAAAGTACCGAATCTATTTAAACGATTAAAGTTAATCTTAAAGTTGTGAATAAGAAATCTCGGTTGTTACGTTGATTTTTATGAGATCAACGTATAATCTTTACGTATGGTTGAAATATAGTTTTGAAAAGTCATTTCACTACGAGTCATCCTCTTTGCAACCTGAATGACGAAAGACCTACAACCCTTCGCTTAATTTCCCTAAAATACAAGCTGCGCTTAATTCGTTTCGTTTCCCAGACGAAAAACCCAACCAACAATCGCCGCGTATTTAACCAAAGTATATAAATCCTCATCTCTTGGAACGTCTTGAAACGTCTTGAAAAGTTCACCACCACGGCGAACGTTCAAAGAGGATCTCGTTATCGGAGAGTGCGCCGCACTTTCCGGCGAAACATCGGAAACTCGTGTCCCGCAAGAAATAAAAATGCTCATAGAACAGTTAATATGACGACGAACAGAGAAACGTCGGCGAGGAGAAGAGAAATTGTGTCGCTGGCTAGTGAAACGGCACTGCGAACTCGGTCAATAATAAATCCGCGGTCTCATTGGAAGGGAGATTCCTGGTGAAAAGCGAACTCTCATTAAATTTCCAGCTAGACGGTCGCTGGTTCATTGAAATAATTCTATGGTGTGTCGCGCAAATGTTCCACCAATGCTCGAAGGAGATTGAACGACTTTGTCCCGAGGAAGAAAGAAAGAAGGGGGCGGCAAGGGCGAAGGGGGCAAGAAAAAGTAAGAACACGCGCTAGATCGAAATGTGATTAAAACTCAGTTCTGTGGCCTTTTCCGTTTTCTGCACCGTAGACATTGTATCCGGCGACCTGTAGGCTTCGTCGAGGTCCAACCGCTTTATCAGTTATGGCCTCCTCCCTTCTGTTGGACCTCCTCGGTGAAAATGGGACACCGAGAGGAGAAATATAGGGTATCTACTTGTGGTGAAACTTGCATGTTCTAGAAAAAGATGGAATTCCAACGAAATAAATTCTTCTTTCTTTTCTTACTTTTTTGCTCTGTTATAAATGTAGCTTGTACATACACTCCCGTTCATAAGTCACCGGACACTTGCTTATTTTGATCTAAATAGTTACTAGAACATAGATATACTTTTCCGGATTAATTTTATTATACAATCTTGTTATAGGTACTTTATATACTCTATTTTATAATAATACTAGAAAACAAAACTGATATTTAACGTATATGGTTTGAATAAATATTTCAAAGTATATCAAAAATATGTATATATGTGTAAAAAATCGAATCGATGTATTTTGGGATGAATTGGACAGAAGTTTTCAGAAATGTGTTCAACATCAAGAAAAAGACTTGTGGTTATTTCTGGCCTTCATATTTGCACAAAGATATAAGATACATTATATACAACATGGTAAGATTTTTGACATATAAACAGTTTGACATATGTCATATTCTATACTTCCGTGTCATACATAGTCCGTGGCATACTTCCGTTTAATTTTAACAATATTTCGGAATAAATTTCTTTCCACGCTTCTTCTAATTTCTTTCATAAGCCTTTTTCTTGATTTTGGACACATTTCTGAAAGCTTCTGTCCAATTCATTCCAAAATACATCGATTCGATTTTTTAAATATATATACATATTTTTGAAATATTTATTCAGACCATATACATTAAATATCAGTTTTGTTTTCTAGTATTGTTATAAAATAGAGTAAATAGAGTACATATAACAAGATTGTATAATAAAATTAATCCGGAAAAGTATATCTGTGTTCTAGTAACTGTTTAGATCAAAATAAACAAGTGTCCGGTGACTTATGAACGGGAGTGTATATAAAGATGTTAAAAAAATGAAAATCGTACGGTCATGCAGAAGTTTTGAAGTTTCTCAAAAGATTTTTCTCTCAGACTTCCCTTTCTCGTTCTCCGTTGTCGTGATCTTTATTGTATATATACTGCATCCTGTGATGGTATTTTTGCCAACGATATTTCGCGCATGGAAAGCAAAAGGCAAAACTCGTTTACGTTTACCCAGGACAATTGATGGCAAACGACGATGGTGTTTAGACGTTTGTGTTCCCTGACCCTATCGGTAGCCATAGCCTGCAAATGATGCAGCGACGCGGCGTGAGGAATAGGGATCAGAATCTGTCGCGTGTAGATAATACATTCACCGTGCTACGACGATTCATGAATATGCATCTGTTTTCACGTTTCATCGTGCAACAGCGGTACACGCGGATGAGAAGGGTGTGCACGTGCGAAAACCAGCCGGCGCACGTGTTACGCTTGATCCTAATTTAGCATTTGATACGAGGGATCTCGTACATCTTCGTTCTTCTTTCTCGTGGTACGAGTTGTACCAAAGCTACTGATACGAGAGGCCTTCGCTTTCCTTGAGTAGTATTTAGTCATCTCGTTATCGTCCTCTTATCGTTCAGTATCTGCGCGCACACAGATAATCGCAAGCCTTTA